TCGACAGTACAGAGCCAGAATGACACAGCTGAAGCGGATGAGCATCTGAATCTTGCGTCTGAGCCTTTTCTTGTTTTAGGATTTCACCACTAACCACCATTTCCCTTTTCCTTCTGTTTTTCATCGGGTTTGATATCAGTTTTGTTCTATGGACACAGCAGGGCACCATCAAGAATTATGCTAAATTGCCACAAAATATACAGCAATTTCAATCCATGACTGAGGAAATTACGGAAACTTATTAATAACTATGAGCATTTCAAGACTAAACTGGGGAAAGTTTCAGATATGTCTGTTGATATTTGATTGTAAATAACCTACACGTCAGAGACTGAAATTGTGGATAAATCAGTACTGTGGTCTACCTCAACCTATCGGCGACTGATGGTGAAAGCCTGTGTTCTGTGATCTGTAACTCTAAGCTGGATATCGGTTTGTATATTAAGTGATAGTTTTTATATTTTCCAGGATGTAAATTCCATCAGTTTGACTGAATCACTAACAACCTAACAGCCAGAATGGAAACAAGAACAAATCTCCTGGTACTTGTGCTCAGCAGGCCTCTCAGTGTGTGACACCTAATGGACAACCGCTGCTTGGGATCCCAACAACGTGTTGGCAGTGCTGCAGGGCAGGAGCCCCCAGCCCCCTCCAGCTGAGCCCAGCACCTCCTGCATGGCCATTTCAGGCAGCCCAGAGCCCCAGGGATGCTGCAGCACAGCAAAGCAAGGCCTGCATGAGAGTCACCTGTGTCTGGTCCTTGGTTTATTACTTTGCAGCCTGGTTGGGCTGGTTCCGTTTTGGAGCACGTGGTGTGAGCAGAGCTGGGCAACGTGGGTCTTGTCTGGAGAACAGCTGGCCTGGGATGCAGCCATGATGGAGAAGAGGAGGAAATGTTGCTCCGTGTGGCCATGAGGGCAATTCTGGCCCCAAAATGCTGTGGGGAAATGCATTGGATGTGGGTGCTAGGAAAGCACTTCCACGTGCAGAGGCTTGGATCCACTTATCACCTGCCTTGACCTCTCTGCAATAAGCAGCAAGTTTTGGAAGGAAATACGGGATCCATGAGGAGGTATTGGAAGGGGCCAGGAATGGAGGCTGGAGAGCAAACTGCCAACAAAAGCACAGTGCAAAGCAGTGAGAAGCCATGAGAGCAGGGAAGTGTGAGCACTGGGACCGCTGAACCTGGCCCTACATCCATCTCTGTGCATTACCAGCTGCTGTGTGCTGCACCAGCACCATGGGGCTCTGTCTGCTAGACCTCTCTTGCTAGGGCAGCAAAGGCACACGTTTTTCACACACAGGGTGGTGAGGCACTGGCACAGGTTGCCCAAGGAGGCTGTGGATGCCCCATCCCTGCAGGCATTCAAGGCCAGGCTGGATGTGGCTCTGGGCAGCCTGGGCTGCTGGCTGGTGACCTGCACACAGCAGGAGGTTGGAGCTGGATGAGCACTGTGGGCCTTTTCAACCCAGGCCATTCTATGATTCTCTCTTAGACTGGAAGCCACTGTAGACTCTTGAAACTAAAAGATAAATTATTAATCCAACGTCTCTCTCATTTCCCCTCTGAAATCCCATTGCACGCTTTAAAAATTAAATAAATTGAATTAATGGGTTAGTTTTACACATAGGCTGATTTATGGCAGTAATTTCAGAACAAAGAGAAAGGAAATTGTTAGCATAATCAGTCACGCACAGAACGAGGCGATTTGATGTATCAAACGTGGGAGGGTTGGTCTGAATCCCATCTGTGCCTGATTCTTCATCAGATTCCGACCTAATGATTCATATCTGTTGAAAGCAAGTAAGAAAAATCGCTGCTGTGACCTGACAGCATTGGACCTTCATTTCTCATCACTGTACACAGCAAGAGAACCCCTGGGGAGTCTGAGCGTGGGGTGTGCAGTACCAGAGGCAGTCTGGCTCTTTAGGGCAGGTCATGCAGGAGTCTCATCCTGGAGGAGAGCAGCTCATCCCATCTGTGGAGCCCAAAAGCAGTCATCACATACAGATGCTTCAGCACAATGAAGGACCTGGCACCATTTCCTCTCCTCTTTTTTGAATAACAGCAAATATCTGTCATCTAAGTAAGTACAGGAAAGCTATTTTCTCCTGACCTGTTTCTACCGCATGAACTGTAGGATGATGCAAAATTTGGGGAGAAATCTGGGGGAAATTCAATTCTGATGTGTGAATATTTTCAGAACTTGTGACAAGCTGTGTGAATAAACCAACAGCGGCCTCTGTTACTTTCTCATGCAATCAGATATTGCTCCGCAGATGACTCTCCATAAGCATACCAAATATTATGAGATTAAAAGTTGCTGTGAGTACATGAGGAAGGCATGAGCCAGGCAGAAAGGCTTCTCCCCACCTCACAGCGGTGTTTGTTTTGCTTTGAGCTCTCTCCAATCGCTGCACTTCTTGTGAGCAGCAGGGAAAAACCCCGGGGTTGTCCACTAAATCAGTTTGTTCTTCTCTCACGATAACCAACGTCAACACTCATTTCTAATGCTTTCTTATTGAAAGAGTTGGGACTCATTGCTATTGCATAGATGGCAATGCATGCTATGCTTCTCTGTAAACAGCGCTGTTCTTGATGGCTTAAAGATGACTGTATGTAACTACTCAGTGTCGTTGGGGCATTAACTCTGCAACCGAGTAAATGTGACAAGAGAAGCCCACTGAAATTGGCACAGCTCTGCTGCTGCTGCAGGTGGGATCTGTGCAAAAACATGCTTGCTTTGAGGAACCACGTGTGACCGGGTAGTTTTACAGCCCCTTCCCCAAAGGCTATGTGTGCTGCAGCCTGATCTATTGTGTTCTTTTATGTATCCAAAACGGGAGGTTCTTCCTGGGCCTGGTGCTATGCCTGTCGGATCGCTGGAACGCTGCCTCCGGTGATCATAGATGAAAGTCAGAATAAAATACTTCTTCCAGGAAGAGCAAATTGCTTAGTTATATATTTCGTATGTCCTTTGCTCAATATATTGCACAGAAAAGACACACTAAGGTGTGAGCAGGAACCGTGAGACAGTCTCAATGCCAGGCTGGCAGGAGATGTGCAGAACAGGCACGCCTGCAGGCTGACATGGCTCACACAGCCAGGTGAGAGCTGTCGGGTATGGATGAAGTCCTGTCCTGCAATCTGTCATCACTGTTACTACGGATATATCAGCATCAGCAAAATCCAGTGTCATTTCTGCCACGGTTACGAATCCTTGCACAGAACAGAACGATCTGACTTTTCCAATCTCCCGGGACAAAACAAGCTAAAGGATTTGTTATTTTCCACGCGTCAGAAGCACAAACTGGTGACCTATCTGTAAATACATTGCTACAAGATGAATGTATACTGGGAAAGAATATACTATTTTTGCATGGTGGCTGATAACTTAAAGACCTCTCGATGCCTTACGCACACGTCGGCAAAGCGTTTTATTTACAGGCAATTCTCTCTGCGTAGTTCTTGTTCCTTTATCTCACTTTGGTCCCATCTGTGGAAAAAACACACACCAGAATTGGATCTTTGGTTGTTCTTGGAATTCACTTTCTTCAGTACCTGGCACGTTCCATGGTTTCCACGCCACATTTTCTCCCATTAAATGGTGAGACTGAGCCTATTCATTATGGGGGAGGAATTCATATTCCTGGATAACCGGAGAGAAACAGCTTCAGATGTATGGAATTGTTGCAAAATAAAACATTTTGAGGCACCCCGAGTCCTTTTAAGCCCTTCATTTCAGTTTTGTTATGTATTTTAGCAAAGTACAAGCAGCAAACGAGCGACGCGTTCTGTGAGTGCTGCCTATTCTGGAAGTGAAGGGATGAAGATGTAACATAAGCATCTGTGTAAGAAAACACACTGATTTTTTCCACGTTGGTACTTGGGTGTGTACGTCAAAAAGTCATCCGTGGAAGCTTTTGTAAAGAATTAAATGGTCCCGTTTCTCAAATCTCATGGGCTGGCATACAATAAAGGCTCTTTGTAAGACCTGATGTCTCTCCAGCACTCTGTTCTCACCATCGATCTGAACTTGTTCAGAACGTGTGCCTATAGGAAACGTGTCATAAAAACCCAGTAAATAACAACCAAAGCAATGCTGGAACCTGAGATTGACTTTAGCCATCATCTGTAAAAACAAACAAACAAACACAAAAACACAACATGTATGTTGCAAAGTTCTCTGAAGACGCAGCATCCTTGTGTCATGGTTTTGTTTCTTATTTTAAACCAATAGCGATACAACAAAGCGTGTGTGCTTGTTTCATGTGAACTGACTGCTGGGAATGCACGGTGTGTTTTGGGACCGCGTGGCTCGAACAATAAAGTCTCAAAGCTGTCCATCTCTGCTCTGTTCTTCTGTGCCGCGCTCACCGGCCATCCCGCAATGCCCAGGGATGCTCTGTATTTTCTTGCTGGTGGAACAATGAGATTCTTCTGCGTATGAACACAACTCGGGGTCCCACGAGCCGCAGAGTTGGGGCGCACAGCTCCGCCATGCCCACCGCCCCGCTGCACAGCAGCTCCGGCCCCCAGCCCGGAACACGGATAGAGGCGGGGCCAGGCAGGATTTTGCTCGGCAAGCGGCACGCTTTCAGCGCACTTCTTTTTCACCAGAAACCAGTGCTGGGGTTCGGCTTCGAGAATCTCAGCACCACCTTTGCGCCTTCTGTCTGCGAGAGCGCATCCTGGCACCCTCCGTTTCTCCCTAGCGAGCTCAAAACACCGAACAAATCGAGATCCCCGTGCCGGGGATGTTTATTGCCACCACCCCAAAAACCAACTCCGCCCCCCCTCCCCGTTTCACCTCTTCCCGGCGCCCGAGATGCGCAGCTGTTTTCTCCGCACGCAGCACAGCGCCGCCTGGCGGCTGCCGAGAGCGGCTGCTGCGCATGCGGGCTGCGGGACGGCGGTTGGGGCCGCTCGGGGCTTCTTGAAAGGGCGGCGGGGTCGGTGCGCGGCCCGGTTGGGTTGGGGGGAGGAAAAGCGGCTCGCCATGGAGCGGCCCTACTGGAGGAGCTCGGCTTGGGGGGGGAAGGCCCCGCGGAAGAAGCGGCGTTCGTCCCCGCTGCCCGGCGAGCTGCCCGCCTCGGGGCGCTCGGGGGCGGCGCAGTGCCGGCGGCGGCTGTTCGGCAGCGTGCGGCGCGGGGAGCCGCAGCCCGGCTGTAAGTGCGGTGTGCGGCCCTGGGGGCGGTGCTGGGGTCGGTTGTGGTGTTGTCCTGGCTGAGTGGGATAGAACCCATTTAGAATAAATATTCTTTTAGCTTTGGCGTAGCAAAAGTTGTTCCCAAAGTGCTTTTATTATTATTATTATTATTGTTCAACGGGCTTGTGGAATATCTGAGGGATTTCCAGGGTATTTCCTAAAGTTGGCTGGATTTTTTTTCTTTGGTTGGCATACTGATGAGGCAATAAACGCATGGGTGGGAATAAACTAAATCCAGGCTTTGTGGTGTGTGTGAAAACAGGGCTAGAATTGCTATCAGCATCAACAAGTGGGAGCGTTTAAAGGTGCTGCAATAGAAACACTCATCTCATTCCTGTTGCTGAACTGAATACTTGTTCTTCCTCAGGTGCAAAGGGAAAATGCACTGTGAAAACATTACCAAAAATCAAGGAGAATCTTGAAGTCACCCAAGGGAGCCCCTCCTCCAACCAAAGGTCTGCTGGAATGCTTTCATATACAGAATTATCACTGGTTTATCGTTGTTTTGCCTGCCGTCTGTTGTAAATGCAGTCTGGGTGCTGGATGGGCTGATGCTGGGCAGGCTGTCTGCTGGGCAGGGGTTGGGCTGTCAGCTCCCTCTGCATAGTGCAGCTCTCTGGATTGAGCTCTGCTCTGTTTTTCAGTTATAGCACTCAAGTGAATGTGAAAGAAATGCTGTTCTTGGGAAAGAATGAAGAGGATGTGGAAGGCAGCACGGTACTGCTGAAGGTGAGAATGCTGTTTTGTTCTAACACTGCTGATGTGTGAAGGGTAAATTAAAAGATGGGACAGAATCATTGAACAGCCAGGGTTGTAAAGTGCCACAATGCTCATCCAGCTCCAACACCCTGCTGTGTGCAGGTTGCCAGCCACCAGACCAGGCTGCCCAGAGCCACATCCAGCCTAGCCTTGAATGCCTGCAGGGATGGGGCATCCACAGCCTCCTTGGGCAACCTGTGAGTGAAAAACTATCCAAATTAATGGATATTCATTGTGAGATTTATGTCTTATTTTATGGTTTTTAAGTCAGCTTTCAGGTCAGTTATTGGTGCATGAAAAGCAGTGGTGCAAACTGTGCTCTGAATAGCAAGTTTAAGTGATAAAGTATCACGTCATCAGTTCCTGAGTATCTATTATTGCAGGTGTTCTGACATTGATTGCACTTAATGCAATCTAGACTTAATGTCTAGATCTGGTTTTCTTATGTTCTTTGTATTGATTGTTTAATTTTAGGAATCTCCAGTAATCAGCTTTGAAAGTAAAGAGAGCCTGAAAAGCACTGATGTTACTTCAGGTGAGTGTAGTGATTGTGCATCGTGTTATGGAGTGTGCTTTTGTGTCTGTATGGAGCAACAGGTAAAAATGAACATTGGATTTCAGTGATTCAGCATGTGCTTGGTTCACATGAACTGAGTGTAAGCAGCCAACAGCACAGGAGGTGTTCCAGGCAGGTGTGTGCACCGAGTGCTTCAACTCTTATTCATGACAAGAGTTCTTTTAGAAGTTGAAAAAGTGCTGATCTCAAACTGCATGGGCAGGTGTTTATTTTAAAGTCTTTTGAGAACTGCCTGGCTTCCTTATGAAGGAAAAAAAGAAGAGAGAAGGACCAGTAACAGTGTGTGCTGAGCGGATTGCTGCCACAATTGAGGCAGCCTTGAGCCCAGCCTGTTTTAAACCACATCATAGTGATTTTGTTGTTGAAGAGCCACTTTTCAACACGAGTTCTTCAATTTACTTAAAGGTACACTTTTAAAAGCTTGAGAAAAATGACGTGTGTGTGTAAAGTGATGCAGTTCATTTGAAGCTGCCTTTTTTGCCTCTCCCTCCAGGCACGGGGATGACTCTTCCTACAGGTGTTTCAGACTTTCTCCTCGAATGTTTAGATGCAGATTCTTCTGCAGATCGTGACACAGTTGCTACTGACACCACAGAAAGTTTCCCATCCCCTGAAACGTTAAGAGATGAGGAATGTTCAGGTGAGGCTTCTTTGTTTGCTGGATGCTGGAAAGATTGAGGAGGTTGTCTGGAGTAGGAGGGCCAGTAGCCTTTGTTGGTTGTGACTCGCTGGGTCAGAGCTTTGCTGTGAGCCACCCTGTGCTCACTGTGCAACCTGGGTACCTGGTCCTCCAATGCAGAGTGAATGCAGGCCTGACATCATTCGAATCATACTTTCAACTTTAAGTATCTGCTGTTGGCACAAGTCGTTTGCTGGGGGGGGACTGATTAATTTGCTTTGAGCTGAATTTCCCCCAGCCATTTCTGTATGTTTGGACTAAGACGATGCTTTTGCTATGCTGTGAAGTCTTGCAAATGAGATTTCTGTCACTTGGTAAAAGTTGAAATAGCTCAGTGAGTTTTAGTGTGAGAAGCTTGTGCTTCTATCTTCTGTGTGCAGGGGCAAGTAATCCTGACTTCGAGGACTTTGTGAAATGCAAGAACTCCACTCTTCTGGACTGCAGCAGAGCAGTGGCCATAGATAAGATACTGCAGATCTCAAATCTTTCACCAATATTAGGTAATGATTTCGTACAATACAAAAGAGTATATAAATAAGCAAATATCACTGCAGTGCTAGGAACTTTGTGTAATGTGTAAGGATTATTTTATTTAATGGGGAACAGCTCCTTGTTCAAGTTCTGTGTTTGCTTCTAATGTTTTGCTTTATAGTGTGCATAAAACGAGGTCTGGCTCGCTTGGCTTTTTCTTTTAATGTTTAGATTTTTGTGTTTTTCAGAACCTGTATTGGAAGATTGTAAAGACCAGTGCATAAAAAGGTAATCTGCAAAGCAGGCCGATGCGTCAGAATGCTCAGATTTCTCTATTATAAATGATATTTTGGGCAATATGAGTAAGCCTGTGATCCCTCAAATGTGTCTGGTGAGTTTCAACTGCCCGTGTTCCCACCAGCTTTAAAACTGGTGCATGAAGACAAGCAGGTATGGGTTTTCTTAATAGGCTCCTGCTTCACTATTGGAGCTGCAGGAACATCAGTGCGACAAAGCTCAGTGCAGGATTTGATGGAGCTGACACTTATCTAGCCCATAAAATTGGCTTTTGCCACTGACACTGATTCTATCAGGTTGCCTTCAGTTGCAAAGATAGGCTGGCAGTGCAGGGATTGCCTGTGCAGTACAGAGCATGAGGAACTCCTGCTGTCAGCTCCTGGTTGTGCTGTGGGCTCGCAGAGGACAAAGCCAGGTTCTGCACCTTTTCTGTAGGAGTCATTAACCAACATGAGACACTTCCAAAGATTACTGAATGCAGCCTTTATGAATCTCAGGCCAGGTTCCTACCTACTGTCTGGTTGTTCTTTTCCTTTTAGTTTTATTTGCAGCATGTTTTTTCCTTAATGAGAAGAACAGTGCATGTGATATGCTGAAACCCCTTTGTTGCTCTCCTTATTGTTAGGATGCCAGCTCTTCTATTGACAGATCATCTATATGAAGTGCTTTTTGTGTCAGTGATTGTCCTCTGTAGCTTTTAAATTGCACATATCTTTGGAGTAAGTGCTGTTCCTGGCTGGTAGACGATGAACTGTCTGATGAACAAGCTGTAACTATGTTTAGCAATTTTTTTAGCCACTTTTCACTCAGGCTCTATTTGTTCTTTGATTTCCTTGTATGTTTTTTGATGAATGTTAACATCCATTGAGAGCAGCTCACTTTTTTTCTCTTCCCCCCAGAAAGAGACCCAAATGCAATTACAGTTCTTCAGAACTGAGTGTTTCAACTACTCTGGCAGGTAAAGCACCACAAGCTGAGGGCAGTTTGGACTAGAAGGGGAAGTGTGAGTTGAAGATCCTTCCTGCAAATAGCACTTGTCTCATAACAAGTTAGTTAGCAACAGCAAAACAGAGCTGCGTTTTTACTTTTAATGCTCACCTGTGATGCTTAGTGAAAACGGAGTTTCTCACTTAGCTTTTTCAGAAACAGCTTTTGGTCATGCTGCTCACTTTACTTAATGTCAGCCTTCACGAATACAGGAGTCTCTTCTGTAACTACAGTTCTGAACTGTGACTGATGCAATTCTGGCTGTAGCCCAGGTACCACACTATTTTTCTCTGTTTAATTTGGACTGCAGTAGCAGCAGAAGCTGCCACTGGCAAGGACTGTTGTGATTATGCAATTCCTCTGCTCACACAGTATGCGTGTCTGGTGGTGAATAACCAGGTGAGCATATGATTAATAAGCAACCTTGTTTCCTTAAGGAAAGGGAAGAGGAAAAATGCTGCCCTGTTGACAGCAGGAGGGATGGCAGATGAGGGTTGTATTGAAAGGAGGAGGTATTTATATGGGTGGCTTTGGAACAATCCCTCTTTAAAAAACATCCTGTAAGACGTAGGTTGGAGGGTGGCTGTGGGCTATGAGATGAAGTTAATTTGTTTGTTGGAAATCTATCACAGGGAAAAAAATCTGTAAAATTACCACTGCAAGAGAGAGAACTCCAGCCCTAAAAAGTGGCACGTGCTGTTCTTCACCAGTAGGAGCGGAAAGAAAGGTGAACAGCCTTCCATAAGTCAGCTCGGTTGTAACACAGATGATTTGCCCCTTCCTTGTGCAGGTGGAAGTCCCCACCTAGAAGAGTAGATGTGCATTCAAATCTTGTCAGCTCCTTTAAAGAGGTGCCTGCAGGCAATGGCAGAGACTGCCAGTGTAGCTTGTTTATACCTCTGGATAGCTGTCACAGTCGTGGGTGCCCCCTAGGCTCACTTTTTCAGACCGATTTCTGTCGCTGCTACCAACCCAGCTGTATAGAGCTTGAGTTTGTCACTGGGATTCTCTTTGTTAAATGCTTACCAGACAGTAGAGATTCAGTTTTTTAACATGAAATGTCATTGTTTTGTCCTTCAGCCTGACAATCAGACTGCTGAACCCCAAAGGCTGAAGAGCATCAGAAAAGAAGAGCTGTCTGATCTGTTAGAAGGTAATGCATCGCCTTGTGGTCGGCTCGAATCTGCCCCAGCAGAAGCTTCAGCCAAATCAGTGAAGGTGACAACAGAAGTTCTGCCCTCTGGACAGACAGATGATGCAGTGGTAAGTAATTACATCGTGCTTTGCTAATTAACAAAGGTGTAAAACTGAAGTGAGAATTTGGAATTGTGACAAACGTAGCAGTTAAATATGAAAAGTGTTTTATCCCCTGGTTTTGAAAGGGACTTCAGAAGTACTTCTCCTGTGCTGCAATCAGCTGATTCTTTGCCTTAATTTCACAGAGCATGAGACAAAAAAGTGAACACTTGAAATTCAGTACTTCAGCTCTAAAACCTGTTAATTACTTTCAGTGGAGTTGTCATGAAGCAGGGTGGTGTACCAAGAGAATACCGTAGGAACAATACAGCAAGCATCTGATCTGGAATGCCTCTGTCTTATCAAATGAGTTTTGCAACACTGATCATGGAGAAGAATAAATGTCCTAGATGTGTCCTGATGTGCATTTCTGGTGATGAAAACCGAACCAATCAGTCTTCATTGTGCAATCTGATTCTGGCTGTTCTTATGGTACAGTTTAAGTTGCGCAGCAAACTGAAATTCGACCAGCTGAACAGTGTCAGATGTTTTATAACATCTTCCAATAGAAAATCAGCACTTGGTAGCCTTAGTTGTGTTTCCTCTTTGTTCCAAACAAACTTGCTGTTTAATGCCAAGTTGGGTTTTCTCTCAGTAAAGGCAGTACTGCCACTTCTCTCAGCACTGGAATGGAAGTGATGTCTCTTGCTTTTATGCCATAGCTCTCAACAAGTCTGCAGATTTGTGGGTTTTTTTTTCTATGGTTTTTTTGAGAACTGTTTCAATAGAAAGACTTGCACCAGGTAATTTCGAAGGATTTGAGTTGTAGAATTCAATATGTTGTTGTGAACAAGCTTTGATTTATGGGCACTAGATTAACAGAGAACACCAGGGTCTTGTTAGAGGCAGAAAACAAGAATCATTTAAGATTAGGAGTCCTAAATCATATTTTTGAAGCAATTAAAACAGTCTTTTGCATGAGCCAACAGATGTTGGCCAGTTTGGCCATTTGTCTGTCATGTAATTGGGCAGTTATTGCTGCATATGTTGTGTTTTGGAGAAACTATAGCTTAGCTTGTCACCAGTGTGCAGAGTTTCATCAGGGGAAGATTTATCCCTGAATACCACAGGTCCCAGTGTCAACTCAGAAGAAACTGTTCCTGGGTCTTTGAACTCAGCAAGAGAAATTCTTCCTCCAAGTCCAGAAAAAAAGGTTATTTTCTTTCAGGTTCTGATGTAATTGCACTCTATAAGTCCAGTCCTGGCACGTGTGTATACAGTGCTGTTGTTAAAACCTTACAGCATGGTGAGCAGTTGAAGACTGTTCAAGCTTAGAAACTTTCTGTCTCCCATTCCTATCGCATGTTAATGGTATGCAAGTCAGTCTTAAATGTTTTCTGGTGACATCCCTTCAATGTCCCCCTGCTTTCTTTGTTGCATGCTTTTTGAATGTCCCTGGTGGAAAGCTAGAAGAACATCTCTTCAGCTGTGTGAATGAAATGTCATCCACCTTTTCAGACTTGGTGTTACAGGAAAGAAATCTGCTCCATTGTCAGGACTTCGCCAGCTCGTAGACCTTGCAGGCATCGCCGACTTCCAGTTAACACAAAAGCCTTCTGCCTTCCTGAAGGAGTGCCTGAAGGTAATGGAACATAGAATCATTCACAGTGTAGGTGATAACTAGCTATCCTTATTGTCTGTTTGTCCTTTAAATATCTAAAGCTTCTTCTGCCACTGTCCAGTCAGTAGGATTGTGTGTAACCTGTTTTGCTGAATACATAGTTAGCATCTCAGCTTCTTTCTAAAGCTTTCATGTTTCTCTTTTGCTCTCCTTGGAGTTGCTTTTAGTTGACACAGTTAAGATGCTCAGCAAAAGGGAGAGTATAAACATGAGGGGGAACAGCTGCTTACGAGGGTGGATGGTGACAGGACAAGGGGGAATGGTTTCAAACTGAGACAGGGGAGGTTTAGGTTGGATATGAGGAGGAAGTTTTTCACCCAGAGGGTGGTGAGGCACTGGAACAGGTTGCCCAAGGAGGCTGTGGATGCCCCATCCCTGCAGGCATTCAAGGCCAGGCTGGATGTGGCTCTGGGCAGCCTGGGCTGCTGGTTGGTGACCTGCACACAGCAGGGGGTTGGAACTGGATCAGCACTGTGGGCCTTTTCAACCCAGGCCATTCTGTGATTCTAAGCAGCCTTTTTCCCCTGAAAGTTCATCATGTAATCGGATTTTTCTTTAAAGGTTTCTTTTTTTGTTTATTTCTGAGACCCTCAGCATACGGAAAGCTCCTTTTTTCACTTCTAGCTTTTATAAAGCAGAGATGAGAACTGTGTACAAAGCTGTCTCATCGCTATCATAGAGCTCGGATTCCCTCCTTTGAGATGCCATCCCTTGAAGTTTCTCAGTGTGCCACTGGATGGCAGATGTCTTCCTTGGTTTAAAACAGTCCTTTACAGTGTCTGCAAGTAATCTGCAAATTATATTCATCTGTCTGTGCTGCGTTAATGTAGTGTACAGACACTGTATAAGCATAACAGATTTCAAAAATGCCATATATCACAAACTCTCAATGGAATTGCAGGTTGCTGGCTCCACAGCTTGAGTACATACAGCACCCAGGAGGTGTTTGTGAGTGTGTGCATCGTGGGAGTGCAGAACGTAGGTCATACTTGGTAGGCAGCTGGATGGCTATCAGAAGAAAAATGTTTGCTTTTACTACTTCTCCAGAGCAGCCTGGGAATTAAGAATTAACTTAGTGCAAGTGTCTGTGGGCTCTTTGTGAGCTGGATGTCTCTGTCTCTGCTCAGGGAGTCTTTGGAGTTATACTTCTTCCATTAGCAACATATGTACTCTTAAAACTGCTGTTCTGTGCTCACTAGCCGTGGGCCTGTAAGATTCGAGTTACTCCCAGTGATGGATTCTCTTGATCGTGTGAACAACTTATCAGAGTAATGAGGTTTCTTTAAACTTGAGAATATATCATTTTATTGATAGTACTTAACATTTTTTTTTCCCCAGATGTTATTACAAGTTCTAAAACTTGGATCTGCTGTAAGCACAGATGAGGATTCTGATTTTTCAGCAGGAGTCAACGGAAGTGAAGTTTGCTGTAGCAGGGAGATGAAACAGAAGTATTAATGAGTGATTAATGGCCATATTTTTTTTTGGCTTCTACATTGTTTGAACTTAATATAATGTTTGACAGAAAGCCTGTAAATCCTTTACTTGGATATTTTGCTATTAAATTACTTGTACAAGCAACTAGACCTCATTCTGGGCATTGTTCTTTAGGAGCTCCATAAAGATGGTGCTCAGTTCATTTAGATTTTTTAAAAGCATGACTTGAAGACGGCGCGTTGCATCGCTTTAGTTTTGCTTCTTGCTATGCCAAAACTTCTGTTTGGTTGTTTGTTTGTTTTTTTTTTTTTAGTGGTATTGGCCTTTACAGCTGTGGCCTCTACTTGAGTAGAGAACACCCAGCATTGGGGTGTTTGTGTTAGTGGCTTCTTACAACCCCTTGCCTCCTAGGCTGTCCATCCTCAGGAGAATGTGCATCTCTTGTGATGCAGCTTTTCATGCAAAGTGAAGCCAAAAAGCACAGTGTTTACAACCCAGACCTGTGCTTTATATAAAGTATCAGTTGACCTAATGCTTTATTTTCCAGTACAAGTTTTAGATACTGATGTGTTTCCACAGTGGCGTTGTATCTATGGAGTTTTATTTGTGTGATAGGTGAAGTGATCCTTCCATCTCTGTGCTGTTATACACTATAATGTTTGGGCAGAGAAGCAGACCTCATGGCCTGTGGGTAAAGGCTTGCAAGGTCTGACGGTGGGAGATGAGAGGTCCTTTGTGACTTTTAATGGCTTCAGATTTGTGGAGAGAAGTAAGTGCCTTGCATGAATAGAGAGGTGGAAAAAAGCTTGTCTAGATGTTTGGAGTGCTGGATGTTGATGTTGGTATGGATTTTGCAGTTGGCTGCTCGTTCTGCGTGGTACATAGGTTGGATTCCCAGTGGTGCTGTGGAATCCAGTCCAGTTTGTGGATCGTTGATCCATAGATGTCATTCTTCAGTGTGCTGAATGCTTCAGAGAACACTGACCAGAGCGTGGCTTTTCTCTGCTCGTAGTTACTGCATGCTGAATTAGTTTGGGTCTCCACAAAGTCCTCACTAACACCAATCCTTACCCAGGCTCTGTGGTAGAATTAAGGAAGTTTCTCCATGTTTCAAAATAACAGTCTGGCTTTCCAAACATCTTGAAAGGTGAGGTTGTTTCTCAGTACTATCAGCCAAATTTGCCATGCCCTGGAAGCTATTTGTGTTTCCAAAAAGCACGTCAAGAAGACATAAAATTCACGACTTTAATTAGTTTGATTACATCTGAGCAGACCTGGGGAAGTTCAGACCCTGGGCCTTTTCCCATTGCTCTGGGTTAGAAGGAAGTGCAGGTAGGCACACTTGGATTCAGTCTCTAAACAAATGTCGTCTAAGCATATCATATGGCTCAAGGTTAACAGTCATGGCATTAAATTATTTTTCCTTTAAGCATTAGTAGAGAGTGTTCTCCCAGTATCTTGTTGGAGTGCTTCCAGGAATGCTTCTAATTACCAGGATCCTTGTTCTTACAAAGCTGCTGGTAACGAAGTGTGCAAGAATCTGGAGCCCCTAGGAGAGAATGGTTAGCACCTCGATGTAGCTTTAAGCAAAACTGGGGTATGCAGTAAGTTAGTATTAAGATGATTGATTATCCTCTGCTTGAACCAGAGTAAAAGATGTTGTTATAAGAGTATACTAGCAAGGTCCTAAAAAAAAAAAAACACAAACACAACACTTTGCACCCAAAGCATTTTTATTTTCTAATCATAAATAGACCAATACTGACAAAGTAATTGGAGAGTACAAGATCGAAGCAGTTATACTTGCTTATAACGGTGGGGTTGGCTGGAGCAGCCTGAAAACTGCAATGTTTTACTCTGTTTTTTCCTTTTTCTTTTCTCTCAGTGTGATGAGGCTGTCCAGGACAGAAATATCACAAACTTTCTTGTCCTTCCCCTCAGTTACAAAAGTGCTGCTCCTTTTTTTCATCTTTTGAGATGAGAGAAAGTGTAATTGATTACCAGGCTAGCCCTCAGCCCTAGGGAAGGAAATCTTACTCGTTTTGAGGCCGCAACAATATCCACTCTTGTTCTGCTTTTCTGAAAGGACAGGCACTTTCCCATGCTTTGGTTTCGAACTGAAGAATGGCTGTATAAAATTTCTCTCAAAGTGGAAACTGGTTCTTCCATGTTAGTGGATAAAGGTTATAGGTCACAGGCAGTTAATGGGATAGTACAGAAGAGCTTATTTGTGCAGTGATTGAGAAGTCCTCACAGTATCGATGGGGCTGCTTTGTCACAAGCCTAGACGTGGTGAAGTCCCAATGGCTTGAAAGGAATGACAGTGAGTCAATCTGCACGAGAACTTTCTATCCATGAAATGTGCTCTGAGGATGCATGTTTAGTAAAGCATTCAGGGACAAATGTATGAGGGTTTTCATTAATAGTTTGCAGTTTTTGAAAATGAATGGTTCTTCTAGGAGGCTGAAAGTGCTTGGAGATGATGAAAGATGTTTTTTCCCCCACTGGAATGCTACAGGGGTATGTGAACCAGCTGCTGGAGTGTAAAGCCCTTGTATGCAAATGGTTCTGTTTGTAAGTTCTCTAAATCCTAATCTCTAAACACAGAAAGGACAGGATGAGAGTCCAAGGCAATGCATACTAAATGGGCAGGTAAGTTGGAAGTCATGTTTTTCATGCAGGTGTGAGGATTTGCCTGTGGGGAGGTTTTTCAGGAAAATGGATGATGAAACGTATTTCGTTCTTGTTCTCTTCCTATCTATCCTCCTCTCTGCTCTCTTGATTAAGGTGTGTTAACAAAGCTTGCCAGAATCCCTTGCTGTTAACTTTGAAGCTTTGGAACAGACTCACTTTGAAAGGGGCTCTGGCAGCTTGGATTTGAATACACTTGATGTTGGTTCAGTCTTCAGTTCTGTAAATTGTGAAACTGTTGAAAGCTCAGCTGTATTTCCTGGTCAAATTCTATTGTTTTGTAGTATTCTGCACTCGAAGATCTTATTTGAAACTGCATTTGTGTGCCCAGTTTGAAGGCTTTCACATAGTGAAGGGATATAGAGATCTCTTGCCTGTGAGCCTGCAGCATGCAGGTGTGTCCTCCATCCAGAACAAGGGAAAGATGTGTCTGAATGTTGGTTCCTGCTTTCTGTTACCAGCATCAACTTCTAGTGGATGAAAACCAGAGGTCCTGTAGACAGTTGTGTATGTTACGCACAAAATGATCCTTGTTTAAAAGTATTTCTAATGTAGCGTTGTGTCACATGCTGACTTAGTTTAATTCCGTTTTCCAGAGAAAGCAGATGAGTCACTTCTATTTAATCAGTTAATTATTTTCACTTTCTGCTAGTCTTATATCCTCACAGCGAGACAGGGAAGGAGGCTGGTAACCGTAACCATTGGTTTAAATCTGAACTAATAAATACTGCAAAAACCGCTCAGTCCCTCTGGCTTGTGTTTGGTCTGGATTCACGTGTGGGTTACTGTGTCCTAAATGCGTTTGGCAGATGGCTGTTTTATGGGTACGATGGCTTCCCCTGCACACAGCACATGCGGCTGCCTTCCTTCCTCCAGCCTTGTCCCAATGCTATTTCTGTCTGTGCTGGGGAGCCCCTCCATCCCGAGCAGGCCTGGGGGAGAAGAAGGGTGGGAGGAGATGGTGGTGGTGGTGGTTTCTTTCTTTTTTTGTTTTCCAGCTCCAAAGCTTGACCTATCCAAGGAAATCAAGCAGAAACCTGCCTCCACGTTCAAAGAAAAGTTTCTGAAGTGCTGAAGGTTGGATTGAAGGTACGATAACTTCTCTGAAAAAGCAGCTGAGCACCGCACAGGCTGCCCTGGGGCGGGGGGGGGGGGGGGGGGAACCCCCCCCCCCCCGGCGTTCCGGAACGGGGCGATGTGGCACGGGGGGACGCGGGCGGCGGTACGGCGGGTGAGGGTCCCTGAGGCGCTCTCCAGCTCTCGAGGCCTTTCCCGTGCAGTAGGAGCAGCCCGCTCCCGCCCCGGCCCCTCCGGCCGTTCCCCACCCGGGGGCCGCGCGCTCCGCTCCGCTCCCCCCGCGCCCGGCCCACGTGGGGCCGCAGCCACTCAGCGGCCCACGCAGCGCCCCGCCGGGCCCGCCCCGCCGGCCCTCCCCTTCTGGCAGCGCCGAGTGACTAATTTCTGTCATATGACTGTGACACCGAATGGAGTCGGGCGGGCGGAACTAGCCGCGGCGCGGGGACGGCGCTGCGCGGAGCCCGGCGCTCGGCGGCGGGGGGCAGCGGCGGCTCCCCAAGATGCCGCCCACCCTGTTTCAGAAGCTTTTCAACAAAAAGCACGGCCTCACATCCCCGGCCAGGGACGCGAGAGACGACTGCGTCTTCAGGTAAAGCGGCGCCGGGGCCGCCCGCCTCCCCCCGCCCCGAGCTCGGGCTCCCGCTCCGCCGGAGGTGCCGTGAGGTGCCGGGCAGCGCCCCTTCCCCGCGGCGCCGCCGCCATCCGCCGCCCGGCTCTCTTCAGGCGGCGCCGCGCTGCCCCTCGCGGCGGCCCCGCCGCCCTCCTCCTGCCCCCGGGGCGGCCCTGCGGGGCTCCCGGCGTTCCCTCGGGGGATGCTCGAGGCTGGGGGGAAGGAGGAGGAGGAGGGGGGGAGGCGAGGCCGGCGCCATGCCGCTCGTCACGGGGCTGCGAGCCGCGAGGGAGCGACCTTAAAAACGTGCAGAAAAAGGAGGGGAAAAGGCCAAGTCGGTGCCAAGAGAGGTGTAGGGTTACTGGTGAAATTTGTCACGATCTAACCGCTGCGGCTCTAGGTCTGCCGCTGCAACAGCGGGGCCGAGGAGGGGCGGTGTGCGGGGAGACCCGGGCCGGGGGAACCAGCCGGGGTTCCGTTCGGAGCTGCCGTGTGGAAACGGCTCCGTTTGTGGCTGTAAAACGGAGCGCCCCGCACTGGGAAACCACGCAGCCCCCTCTTGGTTGGAGGGACAGAAAGCGACCCTGCGAAATAGTTTTAAAGTTTTCAGCTTAAGCGTGGACCGATTGCGCTGCGATGGGAAAGTTGTGCGCTCCTCCCATCCGCTGCCCTGACAGTGCCGACGGGAAGGGGACACCTGGGTGCACGTGGGGACACGAGTCCTGCGCACCTCCTGCTTGGGGTGTTTCGGAGTGCTTCTGCTGATGTCGGAGCATCCCGGTGGTCACAGAGCTGTGGTGGGTCCGTGGAGCTCTTGCGTGGCCAGCAGGCAGCTTGGGCTACACCTGAAGGCCAGCGCTGCAGCTCATAGAGCTGCCTTCTGGAGATGCTGCTCCCTCAGCTCCTCTCTACTGGCTGTGGTAGTAGCTCCTTTAAAATGGTACGTATTTTAGGAGACAAAGCTTTTTAACGATGTCCACATCATCTAATTCTGTAACTCAGCTTATGTCTGAGGTCAGGCTCTTTGTTGGGGAAGGGACAGCACGGCTGGGCCGGGCCATTGCCACACCTTTCCCAGCCTGATGAGAGCTCCAGTAATGATGAGGTTGTACAGAGCCTGCAGGTTAGCTGAGCAGCTGCCACACAGACCCCAGGCAGGATCACAAAGCAAAAGCACTCTGCAGGGAGATGCCTCTTCTTCCTTCTCAACACGCAGCGTGCCAAACTGGACGTGGATTTTGAAGATACGTCACACTGTCTGCTCTGCCCTCCTCCACTCATACAGTGCTGCTTCACTGTGTCATGGGAACCGTCAGGCAGCTGCTGGTGGATGTGCAGTTGTTCATTTGGTGCTGATGGCTGAGGTGTAGGATGGGGCTGTGCTGCTGAGAGCCAAGTGCTGTATTTCAATGCCCTCCAGGCACGTTGCCTAATGGCTTCTTTCTTTTTCCAACTGGGGATAAGTCTGGAGTTAATCCTCGCCACTGTGGTCTTATTGGTTATGGGTGAAACTTATGGAGAATGCACCAAATAAAGAGTGTTATTTATGATAGTTGGATTTTGGAGCCTCGAAACCAGAATTCTTTTTTGTCTTTTTCTCTGCTTCTGTGCTTCCAGTAGATATGAGGGCATCAGTCTCGTCGCCTTCAGTGATACAAGTATATCTTTATGTGTTGGTATATTACTACTTGTTTATATTCTCAGTAATGAAATGTTTTCCAAGTATCCTGCATGTTGTTGCTGTTTATTGCCTTCACATTGGTCCTCAACTGAGAAACTGTGTAAAAAAAAAAAAAGCATAATAGTTATAGAAATTCACTTAATATATTTAGGGGTTGATAAGGAGAGAGAAAAGCCCAGTTTCTATGGCGATGACATCCATATAGCAGATCATTTTAGGATGATTTTGATGCTTCTTTTTCTTCTTTCTCTATGACCATACTCTGCCTTTCATTCAGGCTTGTTGTGAACATTTACGAAGGCGTAAATTCTACTGATCTGAACTTACATTGTTTCAACAATAACAGAAATTACCTTTTCCTGTGGAAGCTTTTCCTTATTACTTTTCTCTTTCCTGCTCAGAATCCTTTTGTCTCAGGTGGGGCTGTGACACTTGGAGGCTGAGTGCAGCAGCACTTCAGAAGCAGATTTGGAGAGGCTGCCCCTTCCAGGGAGGTGCCCAGTAAGTCAGCAGCTGCAAAGCATTGTCCCATGTTGTTTGGTTTTTCTTTCCCCTATATATGAGAAGCAGCTTTAAGATCCACTACATATTGGTGTTTTAACCCTTCAGCTTAACTGGTGACAATCAGCAGAGCTGGTCTTCAGTCTGCACTCTTCCCCATGCAGCCAGGTGTTCATAGCAAGAGCAAAAACATTCCATGCTTTTATAGTAAGATATGTCTACAAGAAACACCTGCAAGTATTCCAGAGCAGAGACAACCCTTAAGCTCCAAGGTGTCGAGTACCAGCTGTCTGCTGCAAATAATACTCACGTGAGTGGATTTTCCCCAAGGGTAAATTCTGCTATTAATAGAGTCCTTGGCCATGCTGTGCATCTGGCAGTGGCCTGCTGGTGGCAGGAGGCAGGGCAGGCTGAGCCAGGCCTTTGCCAGCCCTGTGCTCCTGCCATCACCAGGGATGTGACATTGTAGGTGTGTGTGTCTCTCTAGAATTACAGAATCAAAGCATTCCAGTTGTAAAAATACGTGAAGCTGCTGCTATGTGAATTGCATGCAAGTGTATAAAACATATATATGCATTTTAAATAGCCATCAAATGAACCCTGTTACAAAATCTTCTCATCACCTTCTCAGTAAAATGGGAACAATCATCTCACAAAAACTTCCTATGGCCAGGGAGAAGCAGCCGCAGGTTCTGCCCTGTATTGTGTGCAAACACAAAGTATTCCTCTGCGTTTGTGCTGGGCTGCTGCAGTTAGAAGTAGGATTTCCTTTCTGGCTTTTCAGAGGCACACTTCAGTGCTTTGGAGAGGAGAGAGCTCCTGAAGCACCGCTGCTTCGACCATCTGAACCATGCTCTGGAGGATGAGCGCAAAGCTCAGTGAATTGCTGGCAGCTCTCAGGCTTTATGACTTTATTGTGATGTTGCTTCTTAACTTGTTAAATATGTGCGTGTATTTCCAGTGGAGGGACTGCAGCAGAATTTTTGTGGCATGAGATTATGTCCATGGAGACAGCAGCTGGGGCAGCAGCACTGTTACCTGCTGTGGGAGGGGGGCTTCGCAAAGAGCTGCAGGGCAGTGACTTGGGGGGGTTGGATGTGGGGAGAAACTGTTTCATTCCATCTCAGGTGTGAGGTTAAAACACTTGTCCTGTTTTATCTCTAGACATCCCTCCCATCTAGCTGGAGGGATTATTAGTTAGGAGTGCTTTTTTACACTGAAGCTCAATACAAGCTTCTCTTTTTTAAGCCTCAAAGAACCATCCCACCCCAAGGGGCATTCTGCTGATGTTTCCAAACTCTGTTCTGCCCTTGTTTAAGCACCTGTTGTAGAGGTACAGCTGTGTGGTAGCTGTTAAGCCTAAAAGAACCCCTTTCAGTTTCGGGTCTTACTGACAGCATGAAGGTTGGGTGCGTTCTTCCTTTTGGGGCTTGCTTTGGTTTTCTGAGTGTTTCTGAGGACAAGCACAGCTTTCCGAGTGGGATGACACAGGCATAAATAAATGCTCTTATCCTTATGCACAGAGGACAATTTCCAGCCATTCTGGAACTGTGCTTTTTTGGGGGTCTCTCTGTTATAGGTGCTGCTCCTTTGCTGGGAGTGGTTTGCCAGGTTCCCAAGGCCTATGGCTGGCTGTGACCTAGTGTTTCCTGAAATGCAGCCAGGCAGGGATCCCCCATCAGCCCAAAGACTTTCTGTTTCTCTGTGCTAGTGTCTTTAAGTGGAATCCTGAGCTTTGTTTCTTTTCATGTGGTTTTTGCCAGCTGGATTCATTGGGGGGAATAGCAATAAATCTTGAGTTGGAGATGGGTACAGTGACATGAGGATGCTTCACCAACCAGTGCATCTGCAGTGCTATTGCTCTTGCACGGTGC